GTGAGAGGGAGGAGGACCCTGTACTAACTGTGGCCTTTTCCTCATGCCTATGGTAGGAAGATATGTTCCGTGTCATGTCTAAACTGCTGACTGACACCTGTTGTAAAATGGCAATAAGCTAGAGTGGCCCTCTTGGGAATCTGGCTATGGCCTGGGACGTTCCAGAGTGATGAATCTCTGGCCTGCATGAGGCTTTTGTGCAGCTTAATCTTTGCTGCTTGTAATATTAAAGTAAAAGGTGAAGATGAATGATGTTCAAATGTGCGAAGTTCCACTGATGGTTCTTAGACACACAGTCAGTATTAAAATTCTCATTTGTTATGTAATTCAACCCAACCACGTATTTTGCCCTTCAGTGTTAGGAAATTTGCTGTTCCAGATTTTCTCAAAATATGATGATTTTGAAAGCTGGCTTTTATGTATTGCTCAATAAACATAATACAGTAGCTATTTCTTTTGGGTTTTATATGAACTAAGAGAAAACTTCTGGGAAGCTAGATGAACTGAGGGAAGAAGAGAGTTAAGTAATAGAACTAATAGATGGCATTTTTGCTGAGAAGTTTTATTTATCAGCCAGTTCTGTCAGGCACTCTGCCCTCGTAACCGAGAATTCCAAGAAATGTAAAGTGAAGCCCCTTCTCCATTGAACTCTACAAAGTAGCTGTTGAATATGTCCTATTTGTGAAATTTTCCCTATACCTTATTAAAATAATTTTCCTAAATACCTCATCCTCATATATAATTATTTTCTAACAGAAGAATGTAAAGTCTTATTAGCATCATTTTGCATATTTGTGAATTATGGAGAATCTTAAAATGAAACTGTATGCAAAAACTTATTTGCCATATGCTTTGTTTCCGTTCTCTGCATTGCATCAGGCATGAGTGTAACAGCCTTTGAGAGGTTAACACTCTGGGCAGTGATGTTGAAGATTCACAGGAGCTTATGGTCCTTGGAGTTGCTCGGCGACATCTATCTGTGACCGACTTCGCCACCCTTAAATGTATTAGCTGCTTTGCAAATCAGAATGTTATTAAAAGTCAGCCAGTTTACATACAGTTATCACATAATCCTCTGTTAAGCAGTTTTTATGCTACAATCTCTGGAATTTTTCTCCTCTTGACATAGGACTGCTTAATAGTTTTAAATTCTTAAATCAAAAGGTTAAACGTTAGTTTACTCTGGCATACTCTAGACCCACCTCTATACATGACCTCTCAATAGTGCTGCATTCTTATTTTTGCAAGTCGTATTTCCTTGGTCATATTTAAGCATTTAGTACTTTAGCTTTTAAAGGGAACTGCTTAATCCAGGTGTCTTGGTGGCATGTCCATACGATGCTGAAAACTAAGAAGCGGCCCGAGGACAGGTGATTCACACATGTTTTTCTGTCTGATCCTAACCATTTACGCTGCAGGAATTCAGTACTGCCAGCAGAGACTCAGATGTTTCAGCTCCATTTTCCCAGGCCAATATGGTAAAAGAATTAGGGAGAGACTAGATGGAAAATTGGGAAGGAGAACATTTATTTGGGTAGAGGAGAGGATAACAGGGAAAGGTTTAGATAGCTGTGATAAATGTAAAGATAATCCTTTAGGCAAAATTGGAAATGGGCATGATCTATTCTGGAAACCCTAACTGCTAAGGAACCATAACAGGCAGAATGAAAACTTGTTTCATTTATTTCTCTGTATTCTCAGCCTTTCCTCACTGGTTCTTTCACAGGGTTTTATGTTTGAACGTACCATGCCTTTAGACTGTCCTTGGACAGGGCTGAGATAAGCCCTGAGCAATATGCTAACATTGATATGGAACCTTCTTATAAATTCTACAGAAAAGTAGCATTTTTGTTTTGATGATCTGTTGCTGTGTGTGTATGCGTGTTTGCATTCAGTGAGGTAGAACTCTCTTAAAAAAGCCGTCAGTCTTAATCTCCCTGTGGTTATTCATAGCTAGTTGCTGGAGTCAGAATTCACACGGTTGCTCTTTGGATGGAACATTCTTTTTCAAGTGGAACCTGAAGTGTGTGTTATAATGGAAAGATGGTAAATGGATTTCCTTACGAGTTAGGAGGAAGGGTAATGAGAATATGTTATGTAAATACATTTGTATCTTATTGGAATTTGATTAGAGCCAGGAAAATATGGGCCTCTACAGTATTTCTTTGCATGTATTTTCTACACCTTGTTTGCATATGCGTTTTCCTATTCTCTGGTTGTTTATCTGTATGTCCAGATCTCCTCTCTGAAATTTTATAGAGTCTGGAGCTGTCTGACAGTAGAGCTTTTCTGTTTTACTGAATGTTTTGTTGGTGCATATGGTCTGACATGGATGAGCAGCCACGGTGAGATTTTGGAGTCTATTAAACTGGCTCATTAAAAAGATCAATCTGTTTCTGTAATAACACTGGGAACCATCAGTCACTAAAAGAGGGAAAAACTGACACCTGAGGAGAAAACACATTTTGGTAATTTGTTCATGACATGTCACGAACAAAAGAGTGCTCTATATTTTGTTTACAATGTTGAGGGCTCAAATTCTGTGACGATTGCTGATTTAATCTACTAAACAGTTGTCATGCATTTCAGGGATGGGTTTTGGCAAATTTAACTTTCTTCTCATCCTTAAATACGATTGTCATTGGTTGTGTTTTTTTATTTTTTTTTGAACATTGTTATTTACAGAGAAATGAATACTCTGGGGTAGTCGATGAAATCTTTTTTTTTTCCTGTATGGAACAGTGAAATTTATTCTACTTCCTTTTTAAAATAGCTCTGGGGTGAGTCTCTGAACAGGTCTTTGTAGACTATTGTAGAACCCAAATTAGAGAAAGACAGTTTTCATTTAAAAATCATGCTATTTTTTTTCCCTAAAATATTAGGGAAAGTTATTAGAAAATTCTGATTACTACTCTTTGTTAATATGTAAAAGTTTATTATTTATGGGAGACCTTTATTTTGCCATTCTGTGATGAGAGAAGCTGAAGAAGGGAATATGAACCTGTTTTGGAACTGGTTCAATGAAGTGATCACTTTCAAAGATGAGACAAGAAGTTAAGGGTGTTCTTTAAAACTGCTCAACAGGGGGGCCGGCCCCATGGTGCAGCGGTTAAGTGTGCACATGCCGCTTCAGCAGCCCAGAGTTCGCCAGTTCAGATCCCAGGTGCGGACCTATGCACCTCTTGTCAAGCCATGCTGTCACAGGCATCCCACATAAAATAGAGAAAGACAGGCATGGATGTTAGCTCAGGGCCAGTCTTCCTCAGCAAAAAAAAAGAGGAAGATTGGCAGCAGATTTTAGTGCAGGGCTAATCTTCCTCAGAAAAAACCTACTCACTGTGATGGCACGTGAAGACACTGGAACTCTCAAATGGAGTGAGGAGGGAAAAGAACAGTTAGGCAAACTGCATTTTCTTGAGACTACAGAATGGATAAAAATTACTAAGCTTTAAAAAAAATACTTGCGTTGGGCCAGACTGGTGGTGTAGTAGTTAAGTTCATGCTCTGCTTTGGCAGCCCAGGGTTTGCCAGTTCGGACCCCAGGCACAGACCTACACACCGATTATCAAACCATGCTGTGGCAGGTGTCACACATATAAAGTAGAGGAAGATGGGCACGGATGTTAGCTCAGGGCCAGTCTTCATCAGCAAAAACAGGAGGATTGGTGGCGAATGTTAGCTCAGGGCTAGTCTTCCTCAGAAAAAAAAAGAAAGAAAAAAGTGTTAATTATCTATGCTGTCTTTCTTCTTTCACAGCTTTGATATCACAGCTTTTTGTTATAATTTGTCTTTAATATTGTGTTCTCACTTGTTATGCTAATTTTCTGACTCAGAGAATCTTTCCTGCTTAAGAAATCAAACTAAGTGATCATTGGTTTTGTGTGGGTAACACAGTCTTCCCTCATTTCAAATGATTGACGTTAAGTATTAATCCCTTTCATATATGTGTAATCATTTTAATGTAATTATGCTTTAAATTACCCTCAGTTTAACTCATCTTAACTTTTGTTATGAAGGCCACATAGTTGCATTAATAGCTATTTCCTCCTTCCCCAATTATCAAACATTATTTTCTAAAAAGACTTGCCTGAACTTCAGAAATATATATTTTGTCAAGGATCTTATGGATTTAGCAGGCCAACCCTATCTCTTTATGCTTGAGGACAGTAAGGCCCCAAGAACTTGCCTTTATTTTTCTTTCTTTCTCTCTTTTTTTAAAATTGCAGTAACATTGGTTTATAACATTATATAAATTTCTGGTGTACATCATTATATTTTGATTTCTGTGTAGATTACATCATATTCACCACCCAAAGACTAATTACAATCCATCATCACACACATGTTCCTAATCACCCCTTTTGCCCTCCTCCTTCCCCCTTCCCCTTTGATAAGCACCAATCCAGTCTCTGTCTCTATGTGATTGTTTGTTCTTGTTTCTTCTATTTATGAGTGAAATTGTATGGTCTTTGACTTTCTCCCTCTGACTTATTTCACTTAGCGTAATACCGTTAAGGTCCATCCATGTTGTCACAAATGGCTGGATTTCATCATTTCTTATGGCTGAGTAGTATTCCATTGTACATATATATACCACATCTTCTTTATCCGTTTGTCCCTTGTTGGGCACCAAGGTTGCTTCCAAGTCTTGGCTATTGTGAGTGTTGCCGCATTGCACACAGGGGTGCATGTATCTTTACACATTCGTGTTTTCATGTTCTTTGGGTAGATACCCAGCAGTGGAATAGTTGGATCATATGGTAGATCTATTCTTAATTTTTTGAGGAATTGCCACACTGTTTTCCACAGAGGAATCTCCATACCAGTTTGCACTCCCACCCACAGTGTACTTGTTGTTTCCTGTCTTGTTAATTATAGCCATTCTGACAGGAATGAGATGATATCTCATTGAAGTTTTTGATTTGCATTTCCCTCATAGTTAATGATGTTAACATCCTTCGAAAGAACTTGCTTAAAGTCACAAAGCTTCTTTGTGTAGA